GTAAGTTTTCTAAATGATTTGCGCAGTCCAACCGCTATTTTTGCGACTACCCCTGCTCGAAACCTGTTGTCAAAAGGGCTATTCAAGTCTTATCAAGAGATCACGTACCTTTCATTATTGGTGTTTTTTCATCAGCTTGTACGGGTTTCACCAGATGATGATTTTCCAAGCTTTGTACACTGAAAAAGTGCAATTTGAAAACGAACCTAAACTCAGTAAAGATAACGACCAATACAGTAAACATTTGTTAGCAAAATAAAGCATTTCAATGATTAAAAATACAGGTACTCGTGCCACACCCAACACTATTTTTTAGTTTAACCGTACTTATTGTAATAAGTACATATAAGAAACTTTTACTGCTGGCTCCTGTTAGCGGCAGGAATAAATGAGTTGATTTCAGTCGTTCACTTCTTAGTTCTCTGTTCTCTCACAAACAAACGACGCCAGTGCACAACTCGTACGATGCTGTGCCCTTATTCTAGAGTATATCAGTTACACCCCCATAAATAATATCAGCCCTTAACAGTTATGGTGCTCAATATGTGCCGCTCTTAAAAGAAAACCGGAGACTAATGCAAAGAAAAATATCCATAATACCTGAAGCGTGGAAAATGCCTCCCAACGTGATGAACAAATTAATTGCTGGGTAGGTTCAATCTAGAAAATAAAAAGCTCAAGAAAAAGAAACAAGCGCTTAGAAAATGTTACCAACAGACTTAAATTGAACTAATACAGCTTATATCATGTGGAATTAATTCTCAAGCTTTTTTCCTTAGACGCTTTCCAAGCCGGTCTTATTGACCTCTTTCAGTTGCAAAGGGATCCTAGACTCAGTTCTAGGAATTTGTAAGTATATTTTTTTGCTTTCTTCGAGACCCGATAATAATTTATTTCTTCTTTCCTCTCCACCCTATTCATCATTTATGGCAAAATAAAGTTTTATGTCACTTGCTGATTTTGCGTTTGATTTGCAACGATAAGGGATATAGATAACAAATAAAGTTTAACGCCAAACTATCAGCAGATATTTTAAGTGGGCAGGAACATAAAAAAGTAATATCAATAAAAATGGCAAGTCGACTCTCAATGAACCCTCAAACAGCTTTTTGCCTGTAATAACAACTGCGCAAATTTATACAGTAATACTATAAATACAATAAATTCATTCCGACTTCTCCACTGAGATATTTTTAAAGCGTCCAGCATAAGCCTCGTTATAACCTGCAAAGATACAACAGTGGAGAGTCAAGTAAAGGCATTGGGGGTAAAGGCAAGAGGGAGTTCTCTTCTCCCGTGGACACTTTCTGGGTGTAAATCCCATTGCTCCTAGTTAACAGGGAGTAGTTTAGGGAGAACCTGTCTCCCACTGTTGCTCTGTTGGAATCCCAGTTGACCTAAGTGTGATATTCCTTTGTATGAATATCAGAGCTTCATGTAACAGTTCTGAAGAAACTGTCTCCTGTTATTGCTGGGTTGCAATCCCAGTTAACCCAAGCGCATATTGCTTTCTATAACCATCAGAGTTTCTTAAATAAAATAGTTCAGGGAGCACCTGTCTCCAATTGCTGCTGGGTTGGAGTCCCAGTCGACATTGGTGTATGTTAATTTACGTAAAAATCAGAGAATAGTTGTAACAGTTCAGGGAGCGCCTGTCTCCCATGTTTAAAAAGTTAATCTACATAAAACATACACTGTAGTATCACTCCAAGAAAACTTATCTCATTTGCTTTCTGGGTTGGAATCCCATTTTATATAGTTTTAATAGCATGTTCCATCTATCGCACACTTAAGTATCAGTCAGGGAAGCTCCTGTCTCCCTTGTTTGCTGGGTTGGAATCCCAGTTTATGTAGTTTTGATAGTACGTTTTATCTCCCAATGACTAACGTATCAGTGCAATGAGCCCCTATCTCCCTTGCATGCTGGACTAGAATCCCATTTTATTTAATTTTAATTACAGCAAGTTACATCTAATATAGACTGAAGTATCAGTCCAGGGACCTCCTGTCTCCCTTGCTTGCTGGGTTGGAATCCCAGTTTATCTAGTTTTAATAGTACGTTTTATATATTTTATAGACAGAAGTATCAGTCCAGGGAGCTCCTGTCTCCCTTGCTGGCTGGGTTGGAATCCCAGTTTATCTAGTTTTAATAGTAAGTTTTATTTATCATAGACAGAAGTATCAGTCCAGGGAGCTCCTGTCTCCCTCGCTTGCTGGGTTGGAATCCCAGTTTTTCTAGTTTTAATAGTAAGTTTTATCTATCACAGACTGAAGTATCAGTCCAGGGAGCTCCTGTCTCCCCTGCTTGCTGGGTTGGAATCCCAGTTTATCTAGTTTTAATAGTAAGTTTTATCTATTATTGACTGAAGTATCAGTCCAGGGAGCTCCTGTCTCCCTTGCTTGCTGGGTTGGAATCCCAGTTTATCTAGTTTTAATAGTAAGTTTCATCTATTATTGACTGAAGTATCAGTCCAGGGAGCTCCTGTCTCCCTTGCTTGCTGGGTTGGAATCCCAGTTTATCTAGTTTTAATAGTAAGTTTCATCTATTATTGACTGAAGTATCAGTCCAGGGAGCTCCTGTCTCCCTTGCTTGCTGGGTTGGAATCCCAGTTTATCTAGTTTTAATAGTAAGTTTCATCTATTATTGACTGAAGTATCAGTCCAGGGAGCTCCTGTCTCCCTTGCTTGCTGGGTTGGAATCCCAGTTTATCTAGTTTTAATAGTAAGTTTCATCTATTATTGACTGAAGTATCAGTCCAGGGAGCTCCTGTCTCCCTTGCTTGCTGGGTTGGAATCCCAGTTTATCTAGTTTTAATAGTAAGTTTCATCTATTATTGACTGAAGTATCAGTCCAGGGAGCTCCTGTCTCCCTTGCTTGCTGGGTTGGAATCCCAGTTTATCTAGTTTTAATAGTAAGTTTCATCTATTATTGACTGAAGTATCAGTCCAGGGAGCTCCTGTCTCCCTTGCTTGCTGGGTTGGAATCCCAGTTTATCTAGTTTTAATAGTAAGTTTCATCTATTATTGACTGAAGTATCAGTCCAGGGAGCTCCTGTCTCCCTTGCTTGCTGGGTTGGAATCCCAGTTTATCTAGTTTTAATAGTAAGTTTCATCTATTATTGACTGAAGTATCAGTCCAGGGAGCTCCTGTCTCCCTTGCTTGCTGGGTTGGAATCCCAGTTTATCTAGTTTTAATAGTAAGTTTCATCTATTATTGACTGAAGTATCAGTCCAGGGAGCTCCTGTCTCCCTTGCTTGCTGGGTTGGAATCCCAGTTTATCTAGTTTTAATAGTAAGTTTCATCTATTATTGACTGAAGTATCAGTCCAGGGAGCTCCTGTCTCCCTTGCTTGCTGGGTTGGAATCCCAGTTTATCTAGTTTTAATAGTAAGTTTCATCTATTATTGACTGAAGTATCAGTCCAGGGAGCTCCTGTCTCCCTTGCTTGCTGGGTTGGAATCCCAGTTTATCTAGTTTTAATAGTAAGTTTCATCTATTATTGACTGAAGTATCAGTCCAGGGAGCTCCTGTCTCCCTTGCTTGCTGGGTTGGAATCCCAGTTTATCTAGTTTTAATAGTAAGTTTCATCTATTATTGACTGAAGTATCAGTCCAGGGAGCTCCTGTCTCCCTTGCTTGCTGGGTTGGAATCCCAGTTTATCTAGTTTTAATAGTAAGTTTCATCTATTATTGACTGAAGTATCAGTCCAGGGAGCTCCTGTCTCCCTTGCTTGCTGGGTTGGAATCCCAGTTTATCTAGTTTTAATAGTAAGTTTCATCTATTATTGACTGAAGTATCAGTCCAGGGAGCTCCTGTCTCCCTTGCTTGCTGGGTTGGAATCCCAGTTTATCTAGTTTTAATAGTAAGTTTCATCTATTATTGACTGAAGTATCAGTCCAGGGAGCTCCTGTCTCCCTTGCTTGCTGGGTTGGAATCCCAGTTTATCTAGTTTTAATAGTAAGTTTCATCTATTATTGACTGAAGTATCAGTCCAGGGAGCTCCTGTCTCCCTTGCTTGCTGGGTTGGAATCCCAGTTTATCTAGTTTTAATAGTAAGTTTCATCTATTATTGACTGAAGTATCAGTCCAGGGAGCTCCTGTCTCCCTTGCTTGCTGGGTTGGAATCCCAGTTTATCTAGTTTTAATAGTAAGTTTCATCTATTATTGACTGAAGTATCAGTCCAGGGAGCTCCTGTCTCCCTTGCTTGCTGGGTTGGAATCCCAGTTTATCTAGTTTTAATAGTAAGTTTCATCTATTATTGACTGAAGTATCAGTCCAGGGAGCTCCTGTCTCCCTTGCTTGCTGGGTTGGAATCCCAGTTTATCTAGTTTTAATAGTAAGTTTCATCTATTATTGACTGAAGTATCAGTCCAGGGAGCTCCTGTCTCCCTTGCTTGCTGGGTTGGAATCCCAGTTTATCTAGTTTTAATAGTAAGTTTCATCTATTATTGACTGAAGTATCAGTCCAGGGAGCTCCTGTCTCCCTTGCTTGCTGGGTTGGAATCCCAGTTTATCTAGTTTTAATAGTAAGTTTCATCTATTATTGACTGAAGTATCAGTCCAGGGAGCTCCTGTCTCCCTTGCTTGCTGGGTTGGAATCCCAGTTTATCTAGTTTTAATAGTAAGTTTCATCTATTATTGACTGAAGTATCAGTCCAGGGAGCTCCTGTCTCCCTTGCTTGCTGGGTTGGAATCCCAGTTTATCTAGTTTTAATAGTAAGTTTCATCTATTATTGACTGAAGTATCAGTCCAGGGAGCTCCTGTCTCCCTTGCTTGCTGGGTTGGAATCCCAGTTTATCTAGTTTTAATAGTAAGTTTCATCTATTATTGACTGAAGTATCAGTCCAGGGAGCTCCTGTCTCCCTTGCTTGCTGGGTTGGAATCCCAGTTTATCTAGTTTTAATAGTAAGTTTCATCTATTATTGACTGAAGTATCAGTCCAGGGAGCTCCTGTCTCCCTTGCTTGCTGGGTTGGAATCCCAGTTTATCTAGTTTTAATAGTAAGTTTCATCTATTATTGACTGAAGTATCAGTCCAGGGAGCTCCTGTCTCCCTTGCTTGCTGGGTTGGAATCCCAGTTTATCTAGTTTTAATAGTAAGTTTCATCTATTATTGACTGAAGTATCAGTCCAGGGAGCTCCTGTCTCCCTTGCTTGCTGGGTTGGAATCCCAGTTTATCTAGTTTTAATAGTAAGTTTCATCTATTATTGACTGAAGTATCAGTCCAGGGAGCTCCTGTCTCCCTTGCTTGCTGGGTTGGAATCCCAGTTTATCTAGTTTTAATAGTAAGTTTCATCTATTATTGACTGAAGTATCAGTCCAGGGAGCTCCTGTCTCCCTTGCTTGCTGGGTTGGAATCCCAGTTTATCTAGTTTTAATAGTAAGTTTCATCTATTATTGACTGAAGTATCAGTCCAGGGAGCTCCTGTCTCCCTTGCTTGCTGGGTTGGAATCCCAGTTTATCTAGTTTTAATAGTAAGTTTCATCTATTATTGACTGAAGTATCAGTCCAGGGAGCTCCTGTCTCCCTTGCTTGCTGGGTTGGAATCCCAGTTTATCTAGTTTTAATAGTAAGTTTCATCTATTATTGACTGAAGTATCAGTCCAGGGAGCTCCTGTCTCCCTTGCTTGCTGGGTTGGAATCCCAGTTTATCTAGTTTTAATAGTAAGTTTCATCTATTATTGACTGAAGTATCAGTCCAGGGAGCTCCTGTCTCCCTTGCTTGCTGGGTTGGAATCCCAGTTTATCTAGTTTTAATAGTAAGTTTCATCTATTATTGACTGAAGTATCAGTCCAGGGAGCTCCTGTCTCCCTTGCTTGCTGGGTTGGAATCCCAGTTTATCTAGTTTTAATAGTAAGTTTCATCTATTATTGACTGAAGTATCAGTCCAGGGAGCTCCTGTCTCCCTTGCTTGCTGGGTTGGAATCCCAGTTTATCTAGTTTTAATAGTAAGTTTCATCTATTATTGACTGAAGTATCAGTCCAGGGAGCTCCTGTCTCCCTTGCTTGCTGGGTTGGAATCCCAGTTTATCTAGTTTTAATAGTAAGTTTCATCTATTATTGACTGAAGTATCAGTCCAGGGAGCTCCTGTCTCCCTTGCTTGCTGGGTTGGAATCCCAGTTTATCTAGTTTTAATAGTAAGTTTCATCTATTATTGACTGAAGTATCAGTCCAGGGAGCTCCTGTCTCCCTTGCTTGCTGGGTTGGAATCCCAGTTTATCTAGTTTTAATAGTAAGTTTCATCTATTATTGACTGAAGTATCAGTCCAGGGAGCTCCTGTCTCCCTTGCTTGCTGGGTTGGAATCCCAGTTTATCTAGTTTTAATAGTAAGTTTCATCTATTATTGACTGAAGTATCAGTCCAGGGAGCTCCTGTCTCCCTTGCTTGCTGGGTTGGAATCCCAGTTTATCTAGTTTTAATAGTAAGTTTCATCTATTATTGACTGAAGTATCAGTCCAGGGAGCTCCTGTCTCCCTTGCTTGCTGGGTTGGAATCCCAGTTTATCTAGTTTTAATAGTAAGTTTCATCTATTATTGACTGAAGTATCAGTCCAGGGAGCTCCTGTCTCCCTTGCTTGCTGGGTTGGAATCCCAGTTTATCTAGTTTTAATAGTAAGTTTCATCTATTATTGACTGAAGTATCAGTCCAGGGAGCTCCTGTCTCCCTTGCTTGCTGGGTTGGAATCCCAGTTTATCTAGTTTTAATAGTAAGTTTCATCTATTATTGACTGAAGTATCAGTCCAGGGAGCTCCTGTCTCCCTTGCTTGCTGGGTTGGAATCCCAGTTTATCTAGTTTTAATAGTAAGTTTCATCTATTATTGACTGAAGTATCAGTCCAGGGAGCTCCTGTCTCCCTTGCTTGCTGGGTTGGAATCCCAGTTTATCTAGTTTTAATAGTAAGTTTCATCTATTATTGACTGAAGTATCAGTCCAGGGAGCTCCTGTCTCCCTTGCTTGCTGGGTTGGAATCCCAGTTTATCTAGTTTTAATAGTAAGTTTCATCTATTATTGACTGAAGTATCAGTCCAGGGAGCTCCTGTCTCCCTTGCTTGCTGGGTTGGAATCCCAGTTTATCTAGTTTTAATAGTAAGTTTCATCTATTATTGACTGAAGTATCAGTCCAGGGAGCTCCTGTCTCCCTTGCTTGCTGGGTTGGAATCCCAGTTTATCTAGTTTTAATAGTAAGTTTCATCTATTATTGACTGAAGTATCAGTCCAGGGAGCTCCTGTCTCCCTTGCTTGCTGGGTTGGAATCCCAGTTTATCTAGTTTTAATAGTAAGTTTCATCTATTATTGACTGAAGTATCAGTCCAGGGAGCTCCTGTCTCCCTTGCTTGCTGGGTTGGAATCCCAGTTTATCTAGTTTTAATAGTAAGTTTCATCTATTATTGACTGAAGTATCAGTCCAGGGAGCTCCTGTCTCCCTTGCTTGCTGGGTTGGAATCCCAGTTTATCTAGTTTTAATAGTAAGTTTCATCTATCATAGACTGAAGTATCAGTCCAGGGAGCTCGTGTCTCCCTTGCTTGCTGGGTTGGAATCCCAGTTTATCTAGTTTTAATAGTAAGTTTCATCTATTATAGACTGAAGTATCAGTGCAGGGAGCTCCTGACTCCCTTGCTTGCTGAGTTGGAATCCCAGTTTTTCTAGTTTTAATAGTAAGTTTCATCTATCATAGACTGAAGTATCAGTCCAGGGAGCTCCTGTCTCCCTTGCTTGCTGGGTGTGAATCCCATTTGGCCAATTGTATATCAGAATTGTTACCTATTAGTTCAGGTAGAACTGGTCTTCCTTGTTGCTGGGTTGGAATTCCAGATGACTTACTTGTATAGTAGGTTATTTTTATTTTTAAGTTTCTATGTAATCTTTCTGCCTCCCAACTGTTCGCTGGTTTGGGATCCCAGTTTACCTACGTATATAATTCCTTATACAAAGATCACCTAATTTTTCAGGGAGCCCTTTCTCCCATTTCTTTACTAGATTGGAATCCCAGTCGACCCAAGTATATATTTCGTAATAATAATCAAAACATGAAACCAGTATGCATCCCAGTTGTTGATCTCAAAGGTTTAAAACTGATACTCCTTTGCATGTTTGAGTGGGGTATCTTCTTCACCGTGTTATGCTAGATTGCATAAATAATGTATATACATGTAAAAAGAATAATTATGTAATTTTATAATTGTATTTTACCTTCTTTAATTTTTGTCTGTCAAATCCTTTAATTTGTGCCTCTGATCTCTTGGCCTATCCCTGAGTGATAAAGAAATGAACTTAATTTAGTTATGGTCTCACACTAACAATCTAATAGTCATCTCAAGCACTTGCCCACAGGTATGTATTTACAACCTAAAGAGTTAAAATTAACTGTTGGAGGGGAGGTGTGGTTTAAGGTTAATAAGGTTGTCAATTTACTGAAGGTATAAAATGGTATTAGCATGTTACCATGCCGTTCTAAATATCCAAAATACAGGAGCACTGGGACTAATGCACATCATTAGCATCTTCCAGGGATAGGACCAAAGGTGCCAACCAGGGAACATGTCAGGGAATACAATGGAATGCACAGACAAGAGATCATGGCTGAATTGATAGTTATTCACCTACAGGATCATCAGAATAAGAGGGCATTATCATGTTCCTGTTTCTGATGAGATAAGTTTTATATCTACTGTACTGAACTGTATACTTCAATTGCTAATAAAAATAAAACTACCAGTTAAGAACATGGCAAATCGAGCAATAACTCGAACCTTCACCGACTCGAACTGCTTTTCATATCTC